TATATATGTGTGTATATGTATGTGTATATGTATATATATGTGTGTATGTGTGTGTGTGTGTATATGTGTGTGTATATGTGTGTGTATGTATGTATATAAAAGTGCTGGGCAAGGTAACGCGATAACGAGATTAAGAAAAATCATGCGATTAATCGCGACTAAAAATTTGAATCGTTGCCCATCACAAATATTTATATGTAAAGATGCATCACATGACCAACATGCTGAGCTCTACCACCATCATTATATTAAAGTTGTTTCTGTGTTTTATTCTGTTTCCTGCAGACGTCCAGCAGCTGTTGGTGGTGAAAGAAGAGGTTCCCCCTGAGCAGCAGGAGTGGAGCTCCAGTCTGGACCAGGAGGACCCAGAGCCCCCACACATTAAAGAGGACCAGGAGGAACTCTGGACCAGTCAGGACGGAGAGCAGCTTCAAGGTCTGGAGGAGGCTGATGTCAAGTTCTCATTCACTCCTGTGAAGAGTGAAGATGATGATGATGATGAAGAGGAAGCTCAGTCCTCACAGCTTCATCAAAGACAAACTGAACAGATGGAAACAGAAGCTGATGGAGAGGACTGTGGAGGACCAGAACCAGACAGGAACTCGGATCCAGATAGACATCCAGAACCAGATACTGATGATGGTGTTGATAGTGATTTTTGGAAGGAGATCAGAGAACCTCAGTCTGGTTTAAACTCTCTGAATGATGATGATGAAGTTTCAGTCAATGATTCCAGATGTAGTGCTGGAGAGAAACCAGTTGGCTGCTCCGAGTGTGGGAAAAGATTTAGCAACAAGGGAACTCTGAAGGACCACATGAGATCTCACACAGGAGAGAAACTCTTCAGCTGCTCAGTTTGTCAGAAGTCTTTTACCCAGAGGGGACATTTACAGAAACATGTGAGAATCCACACTGGAGAGAAACCATTCAGCTGCTCCGCTTGTGGAAAAGCTTTCAGTGAAAGTGGGAATCTGAAGGTACACATGAGATCTCATACGGGAGAAAAACTTTTAAGCTGCTTATTTTGTAGGAAATCTTTTACCCAAAGGGGACATTTACAGAAACACATGAGAGTCCACATGGAAGAGAAACCTTTCAGCTGCTCAGCTTGTGCTAAAACTTTATGTGAAAGTGGAAATGTGAATGGACACGTTGAAACAAATGCAAGAGAGAAAAGATGCAGCGCTTGTGACCAAAGAGTCACTTGGCTTGAAGGTAAAGGCAATTCTAACAATATAATCTTTATTAACAGATCCAAATGAATGTCATAATATGTTGTTTATCTTTGTTTTCAGAATCAAAACCTTGATTCAACTTATTTTCTGTTTGCAGACCACATCAGAATCAATATCAGTATAAGTGTTGGCTATATTTAGAATATTTTCACCTCTTTACTTTGCTGTCAGACTGAAACCGTTAACTCTCTTCAAACATACCAGACTCTATTGTAAAAACCACTAATTTAACTGTGGCCCTCTCCCACCACAGACAACATGTTCACAACATTTTCACAACTAGCTATAGGTCACACTTTCCAAAAGGGGGTTGACATGGCAAGGAAATCAACAACCCAAATATGCACCAAGACGCTCACTGTCGCCGACAAGATGCTGGCTATCAACAGCACAGGGAGGGTAAAACTATCGGTTAAATCAATGCCAAAGAAAATGAAATGTATCACCAAGGCAGCGGCTCACTCGCTTCAAACGAAACAAAACGAAAGCATCCCCATACAACTACTCCTCACAACAAAACAGAAAAACTGTACTTGTCCCCACCTGCCCAGGAAGCGCTACAACCTTCATGCTAAATTACATATAGCATTCGAAAATGCAAAAATACATAATGTAAACCTCTCAAATTTTTGCATGAACCCCATAACAGTGATCCAGCAGCACACACACCGATACAAAAAGAATAACTTCATTACTTGTTTGAGCGACCGGGACGCCACCATATAACCGTACATCGTCTAGTTTACCATCAATGAAGGAAGAACGTCCGTGGTCTCACTCAGCCTAACGCAGGTAACTTCAGTCAACTTGCAGCTCCCGTTGCCCCGCTAGACAGCGACATGTCTTTGCACCCTGGATGTTACTCTTGGTAACACTGCGTTCTACTCGCCACACACAATGTACCAGCTCGTCACAGAGAGAAACGGCAGACTCGAAGCATGCGGCAGGTACCTTTTATCGGCTTATCGCTGTCTGTGCAGTACCTTACAGGTCCGGCCAGACAAACCATCCCCCTACGTCAGTTCCGTCGGGTTACAGGTTGGTCTGTGAAGGTTGAAATGAACACCGCTGGTAACACAACATGATTTATGAAGTGGAGGAGGAGAGGAAAGCAAAGGATATGCCAGTGGACGAGATGACCCCTTACCTGCACCTAATTCTTCCTCTTGCACAAACCTCAAGCGCCCTTTTAGACAACTCATCAGAGCAAACTTTTACCTAATTTACCCTTTCCGCATCCATCTCCCAAAGACTACCTTGGGCGTCCTGTCCAACACATCCTATGGCCTCAAATAGTGAGTCCTCTGAATCAGAAAGAGCATTCAGGAATTCATCACTTGAACCTCAGGTTTCTGATCATCCCCCTGAGCACTTGGCCAGGTGCACCTCCACTGATGCGTTTTAACTCACTCATGCACATTTCAAACATTAGAAAATAAGAAGAGTAGCAAATACTATGATGTACGGAGGTGTTGTAAGCATACACCAGCTCCGGGAGATACTCAACCCACCTCCTTTTCTGCGCAGGGTCCACAACAGATCATACAGCATCCAATTAAAACAGTTATGGTTCTCATAGGCAGGGAGGAGACTGATTATGGCTGAGTCATCAACGAACATTAGGATTAATCTGTTGTCAGTATACAGAATATAGAGGAGCAGATAAAGGACCCAGCCCTGAGGGACTCCTGTGGATGAGTACAATTAGGACAAGGTTAAGCAGAGTGGTGATGGCGTCTTCTACCCCTTTCCCAGCCCTGTATGCAAACTATAATGGGTCAATTGGTTGTTCAGTGTTGGTGAGAAGTTGTCTTTTCAACAATTTTTCAAAGGACTTCATGACAAGGGGAGTCAAACAGGCCTGAAATCGTTAAAAACCTTGGAATGATTGTTTTCAGCCACCGGAATAAGCTTGTTGGCACCCTCAGCTGACAAGAGACAAATAAAACAGGTAGTGGAAGATGGGGGCTAATTGAACAACCTGAACAAGACAAGAGCAGGCGGCTACTTATATTATCAGGCCCTGGACTTTTTCTGTCTTTGGAGTTTTTGAAAGTGTAAGCCAATGAGAGATCATCAAAGTTGGTGGGACCAGTGCATGCTAGTGCACCTAAGACAGAACTCATTAAACTCCTGTCCCAGCTGTTTGCCGGTTATAAAACCATCAGGAACCACCTCTGCGCGGCTTTTATTTTTAAAACCCAACAATAATTCTTAGACAATCCAGGACAGAACCCAAATCATTGTTGCTGAGTTGTCTTTCTAAACAAGTTGAGCTCTGAAAGGTTGCCCTCTCAAAATGCTCGTTTTGTTCAACACTGCTTGCGGTTTGGATGAACTTTCAGAGACTTATTAGGGACTGCATTTTCTTGGCAGAACGTCACAAAGCAACTGACATCAGCAACCTCATTAATATCAATGGGACTTTTCTGCTGCATTGACAGAACCATAACAGAGTTTGTTCAAGCCCAATATGCAAGGGACAGCTGTTTTCTGATGTTGCGCTGCAGCATCTGTAGGGATCCAATCAACCACAACTCTCCTCCCTTTTACAGTCCTGCCTAAGGCACTGACATGCTTTCTCAAGATAACCCAGGTAAGGAATGCTGAAACACATTGGCTGCAACAATTTTTACAAATACCACAAATTCTATTGTGGACCAGCTCCGATGACCACCTGTGGGTCCCTGGGACTCCATTCATTGACAACCTATCGATAACCTGAATAGCAAGTCGCCCACCATTCTTCCTGCAATTACTTTCAGCACGTATCATCTGAAAGACATCTACAGAAGCATTGGAGTCCGTGATGTACACTGTCGACACCGTATTGTTGCACTTGGACGGATACGCGGTTGGACCACAGTGTCCCAATGTGGAACTAACTACTAAACTAGCTGACTAAAAACACAACTAAGTTAAAAAGAAAAACCGCTAATATGAGAAGAGGAGGAAAAGACAGAGACCTACTGCTCTTATGGCGCAGTGATCCAGTTTAACTGGTGTTTGATAGCGATGGTGTTTTCATACATACAAGAAAGATTCACTTGGTATTGTTGTGCTGGTCAGTAATGTGTCTGTACTTCATTCTGTCCTGCAGACGTCCAGCAGCTGTTGGTGTTTAAAGAAGAGGTTCCCTCTGAGCAGCAGGAGTGGAGCTCCTGTCTGGACCAGGAGGACCCAGAGCCCCCACACATTAAAGAGGACCAGGATGACCCAGAGCCCCCACACATTAAAGAGGACCAGGATGACCCAGAGCCCCCACACATTAAAGAGGACCAGGAGGAACTCTGGACCAGTCAGGAGGGAGAGCAGCTTCAAGGTCTGGAGGAGGCTGATATCAAGTTCTCATTCACTCCTGTGAAGACTGAAGACGATGAAGAGGAAGCTCAGTCCTCACAGCTTCATCAAAGACAAACTGAACAGATGGAAACAGAAGGTGATGGAGAGGACTGTGGAGGACCTGAACCAGCATGGAACTCAATATCACACAGACATCCAGACTCTTCTGAACCTGAGACTGATAACAGTGATGACTGGAAGGAGACCAGAGAACCTCAGTCAGGTTTAAACTCTCTTAATAATGAAGTTTCTGTAGAGAAACCATTTAGCTGCTCTGAGTGTGATAAAAGATTTAGCCTCAAAACATGTCTGAACAGACACATGAGATCTCATAAAGGAGAGAAACCTTTCAGCTGCTCAGTTTGTAAGAAATCTTTTGGACGGAGAGAAACTTTACAGACGCACATAAGAATCCACACGGGAGAGAAACCATTCATCTGCTCTCTTTGTGAGAAACGATTTTTGCGTAAGGCCCATCTGAAGAGACACATGATGACTCATACAGGAGAGAAACCTTTCAGTTGCTCGGTGTGTGGTAAATGTTTCACACAGGCAGGAAGTCTGAGACAACACATGAGCATCCACACAGGAGACAAACTATACAGCTGCAGCCTTTGTGACAGAAGATTCCCCTGGTACACCAGCTTCAAACACCATCAGTATGTTTGTCGTCGGTCCTTAACTTCATCAAAATCTAACTGAACAGATGGAAACAGAAGGTGATGGAGAGGACTGTGGAGGACCAGAACCAGACAGGAACTCAGATCCAGATAGACATCCAGAACCAGATACTGATGAGGAGACTGGAGACTCTTCATGGAAGGAGCATATTTACAACATAGAAAAGTGAATCTCCTCTCCTACACTGCCCCTTTCTCTCCTCTCCTCTCTATATATTACGTAACAATATTCATGACTGTTTATTGAACTGTGGTGAGATACAAGGAGCCCTCTATGTACAGATCTCCACAGGTGACAGCGCTCATGTTAAAGTTAAACTGTCTGATAAAAACATGAACTTTAACTTTACCTTCAGAGAAAATAGTTAAAGAACTGAAAGAGCTGCTTCATTTATTCCATGTAAGTTTATTTTTCTCTACTCCTAGAAAATCAATCACATTTCACGTTTAATGACATCTGAGCAATTGATTCCCCTGAAGAGGCCAGGTTGTGGTTGAAAGCTCCAGAAACACCAACTCATTTGGACCTTGTGTTGAGAGATTCTATGAACCTTTTCTTTACAAATTCAAGAATGAACATTAAAGCTCAATGAATGTCATTCTTTAAAAAGTCAATTTAATCATTTAAATTCCTGTCTGTGTTTTTCTGAGGAAGTCTGTAATTTCAGTAACATCTTGAACTTTTATTTTGAAAGTCAGCAGCGGATGTGCCCCGGAAGCTGGATTGTTCACTGAGGCTAACTTCACACTCTGTGATCAAGATGGCGTCTATCAGAAACAGGCTGTTAGCAGAGTCTCTGGTCCAGTCCCAGCGTCCCCCTAAAGCAGGGGTCTCAAACTCATTTTCGCTCCGGGCCACATCAGCATCACTGTTGCCCTCAAAGGGACGGTTGTAAATGTAACTACTCGTAACATATTGTTAAATAAGTATTTGATTATTGTTTATTCAAGTGTAAAAATATTGTACATGCAGTTATATAAATGTAAAATATATTTAAGCACATTTGTTATAACTTAAATCCTTTTAATTTAGGGTTAATAAACCCACATTACTCTATCAAAGATCAAACTATTAAAGAAAATATCAAACAAGTTATTACAATAACTTTGTTCAAAGCTTAAAATCCTTTCAAGGGTGTGTTTGCACAATCCCACGTGAAGTATTTCATGTGTTGTAAAGCCACGTTTAAAGTAGTCTTCAATGTACTCACAATACATTTCATGTCAAGTGTACAGTAACCAGCCAAAGAGCTGCTTCTGTGACTGTGTTTAAGTATATCATAAATTTGACTTTCTATCATAGTTATGACTTTCTATCTCATAACTTCGACTTTCTATCTCATAACTTCGACTTTCTATCTCATAATTTCGACTATGGGGATATTTTTATTGTCAAGTCTAACTGGCGGGCCGGGAGTTTGAGACCCCTGCCTAAAGCCTCAAACCCTGAACCCTCAAGGACTCACTGACGTCACCTGGTGAGTGGTTCAAATGGTGGAAATACGAATGGGACATAACACGTTACCATGACAACGACAAGAAATATGATGTATAATTGTGTGTATTTATTTTATACTTTGTACTCCCTGATGTGAATGTCTTCAGGCTCTTTCCTCACTAGATGAGAGGTAACTTCATATCATCTATTTACTTGTTTTTGACAAAACGGCTTCAATGACAAAATCAAATATTTGATGAATAAATAAATAAATATCTTCTGATTTCATGTTTATTTTTTGTTCCATCTTTAACCCTTGATGTTTCTGAGTAAATGTAATACTTCAGGGTCTTAGACAGGAAGGGAAGGCTGGAGATCGGTCTATAGTTCAACACCTCTGGATCAAGAGTGGGCTTCTTGAGAAGAGGTTTATTTACAGCTACTTTGAAGGACTGCGGTACATGGCCCGTTATCTAGTAAAGAAGTACTAACTAAAGGTAATACTTTGTCCTTCACAGACATGTCTGTGAAGGACAAAGTATTACCTTTAGTTAGTACGTCTGTGAAGGACAAAGTATTACCTTTAGTTAGTACTTCTTTACTAGATATGATCAATCTGAAGTTCATCTCAAGTTTAGTCCTATTATTAGTTGATTAATAATCTGAGATGTAGCAGAGTAGGAGAATAAAGTAGCAGGAAATGGAAATAGTTAAGTGCAAGTACCTAAACATTTAAAATAAATGTTCTTAATCACATTCCACCACTGATCTGATTGTGTCTTTATGTTTTAAAGTTGGAAGTTATCAAAAGAACAGTAGGTAAAACAGACTTTTAAACGGCTCTTTTATTAGCGAGAGAATGATGATGACGGTCCAGTAATAGAAGAGTCTGTACTTGATCTCACACTGGTCTCCAATAATCCACCACCGATGAGTGATGGAAATGTCTTCCATAGTTATCCATTCTGATGGTGAGACTTGAGGAGGCTGATTGGTTTTAATATGGATGTAGAAACACTCAATAATAAACTAAGACATGGTTTAATATCAGCTGCATTAGAATCCATTCCTAAAAGTAAAGGCAGAGTAAAGAGGACAGCAGCATCATGGTGGGACAACCAATGAAAAAGCATTGAATACAACGTTTTATGTCAAACTGAAATGGGAATAAGAACTTGGTGTGAATACTACGGAGGATGAAGGGTTGAATATCTGGAGGACACAGTCTTCAACATCCTTGCGTACTTGGAGAGAACATTGTTGGAAGAATGTAATCAGATTCTTTATTACTCTCCAAATTACAAACAAATGTCTATCTATTGTCCAGCCATGTTGGAGGAAATGTGGGGCAGTAAATGTAAACCACTCCCATGTATTTTGGTTGTGTCTGGAAATTGTACAGTTTTGGGGAAATGTCCATAATTGTTACAGTCACAATTCTGGTCTATGATATACCAAAGTCCTGTATGTCTCTCTACTTTGGTAACATGACAGCAGACGCTGTGTTAAGAGAAGACGGGTACCTGCTGAAAGTGTTGCTACCAGCTTGTAAGAAGGTTATTATGAAGAGATGGCACAAGGCAGAACCACCATCACAAGATGGATGGCTGATAATTGTGACTGAAATGTATGATATGGAAACGTTAACTCACAGAATAAGAGCTCAAGTGGAGCGATGTCGTGAGAAGTGGGAGAAATGGACGATGTTTACATGTCAACGATAACACAACCTGAATATTTCACAGGAGTTATCATGCTTTTGAAGAGACAGAGCAATCCAGATCCTTTTTAATTTATTTTTTGTGTGTATGTGTTCCGTCTGTGGTGAAAAGGCAAAAAATAAAGTGTGAAAATATATATATATATATACTAGTGCTGGGCAACAATTAAAATATTTAATCGCGATTAATCGCATGGATGCAGGTAGCATGTTTTATACTTAATGTCTCGACGGCAACCCTGAAGGGACACCATATCTCCAATACAAAACGATAAACATGAGACAGTCTGTTACAATAATAATAAATTAAAAATACTTACCTGTTTTTTTTTTACATTATTGTTATTATTTATTTTTTTCCCATCTCAAAAGGCTCAAGGACATACACACACACACACACACACACACACACACATACACACACACACACAACTGACTATAGGATGTTTGCTGGCTTTTATCCCACTGTTCTTGTCATCCTCTTGTTGTTATGTATATGTATTGTCTCTTGTCTTTCAATAAAAAAAAATTTAAAAATGCGTTAACGCGCAATAAAATAATTGTCAGCGTTAATTAATGAATGCGTTAACACGAAATTAACGCGTTAACTTGCCCAGCACTAATATATACACATATATATATATATACGTGTATATATTAGGGGTGGGGGAAAAAATCGATACAGCATAGTGTCACGATATTTTGCGTGGCGATATTGTATTGATACACGGACGCCAAG